CGGGGGAGGAGGAGGACGAGCTGGCCCGCCGCTGCAGGGGCTTCATGGCCTCGCCCGTGACCGACCTGCGCGAGCTGCGAAGGAGGCCGGGCGACATGAAGACCAAGATGGAGCTGCTGATCCTGGAGACCCAGGCGCAGGTGTGCCAGGCCCTGGCCCAGGTGGATGGGGGCGCCGGCTTCTCCGTGGACCGGTGGGAGAGGAAGGAAGGTGAGGAGGTCGGCGCCGAACGGGAGGCGAAGCTGGGCCGAAGGGGTCGGGCTTTAGTTTGCGGCCGTGAAATGACTCGGACGAGGGTGTGAGAGTAGGAAAGGGGGACCTGCCAGATAAAAAGGGACGCCGTTACAGAGATTGGCACCGAAAGGGCCTTCAGCCCTCATCCTGCAGGTGTGGAACCAGATGTGCTGTCACGCTAGCACTCGGCATTTCAAAATCTTTGCAATCTTTGAATGGCGTTTTTTTCGTAGAGGTCTTAGGGTTATTTTAGCCAACAAGCGTGGATGTCCAAATTTGTCATTGCGCATAGATTTCCCCATATTTCATCTCTTTTTCTTGGTGTGTTTATACCTCCCCTCCTTTGGAAATGGAAAGAGAAACTTGGCTCCTCTTTGCTACGTGCCAGCCAGACTCCTCCAGCTAAGAGTGTCATTGTGTGGTGTCACTCACCCAAGTTGCACAAGAACTATTTGATTGGTTTGTCAGTAGTTCTACAAAATGCACCAGTCTCGAACCCACCCACCCCCACCCCCACACATACCTTGATCATAAACTTGAAGGATTTCTGGCTTTTCTACAGCAACTTCTTATCAGCTGGTTTGGGGCTGTGATCCTGCCACATTTATATTAAGTGAAGTTAAACCTGGTTTTCATGGTGTTTTCCATCTTGTAATGTTTTCAAGTGAAGGCCATTGAACCAGGATACAAAATCTCAAGTACTAAACTAGCTGTGTGACCTTCTTGAAGGTACTTAACTTTTTTTTTTGCCTCTGTTTCCTCACCTATGAAATAATATATGAGGGTATTGTAAGGATTAAATGAGGTAAATATTTGTAAGTGCTTAAAATATTGTCTAATACATAGAAAGCAGGAAACAAATGTGTTCTTGGTCTACAGCAACTTCTTATCAGCTGGTTTGGGGCTGTGATCCTGCCACATTTATATTAAGTGAAGTTAAACCTGGTTTTCATGGTGTTTTCCATCTTGTAATGTTTTCAAGTGAAGGCCATTGAACCAGGATACAAAATCTCAAGTACTAAACTAGCTGTGTGACCTTCTTGAAGGTACTTAACTTTTTTTTTTTGCCTCTGTTTCCTCACCTATGAAATAATATATGAGGGTATTGTAAGGATTAAATGAGGTAAATATATGTAAATATATTTAAAATATTGTCTGATACATAGAAAGCAGGAAACAAATGTGTTCTTGGAGAAGGTGTTTTACATTTCTGTGCCTCAGTTTTCTTGTTTGTAATACACAGTTGTACTGGATCATCTTATGTCCTATCCAGCTCAAAGAATTCTTAGAAATAAAACAAGCTAAACATGAATCTATGACAGCTACTCTTGTAGTAACTCTAATGTTTTATAAAACAAACAGACCGGCTACTAATAGTAAAGCTCATATACGTAAATGTACTGGGTCTCACTCAATTTAGAGTTCCAAATCCCCAAGTGATCGAATATCTACTGTTTTTTAGTTGCCTGTAAACAAAACGAAAAGACAAACACTAAGAAAATAACAATTGAAACAATATGGAGCTCTTAAATTCAGTAATAATAAAAGTTTTCAAATATATCCATTCCTGTTTTTAACCTTAGTTTTCTCTCATATATCATAACCAAAGCAGTAGTATTTGAAAGGAAAATGTTCTGGTGATTTATTTTATTTCATTTTACTTATTTTTTTGTTGTTAATCTTCACCCAAGGATATTTTTCCCATTGATTTTTCGAGAGTGGAAGTGACGGGGAGAGACAGAGAGAGAGAGAAACATGGATGTGAAAGAGACATCAATTGGTTGTCTCCCCCATGTGCCCCTTGGTAGGGATGGAGCCTGCAACCGAACTAAATGCCCTTGACCGGAATCCAACCGGAGACACTTCAGTCTGTACCCCAATGCTCTAACCACCAAGCAACCGGCCAGTGCCCAGTGATTTATTTTAGGTGACGGCATAAAAATGTAGAAGAAATATTCAATTATGTGATTTGAAGAGATAATATTTGCCTACTATCAGTAGCAAATGTCATAAAGCTAAGCTAATTATCTAATTTTATTGCACCTGGAAATTACAAATATACAGATATTGAAAATAGAGGAGGAGAATAAGTCCCAGTCCCATCACCTCATGCAAGGGTGTTTTTTTTTTTTTAATTTTGCACTTTATTTTCTGTTTTTCACTCTTTGCTCATTTTACATTTCTATACACAGGAGGTGGGGGCATCAGCTGTGTACTGCAAGATGGGCATGTGTTTGAAAAGGCTGGGGT